CACCTAAACCTCGAGGGATGTCATGACTGTCGTTTAGAGCTGCCAAGGTTTGGCTGGGGGCAGATTTATTATATAGCAGCATATTCTGAGTAACAGAACTCTCCAGAAGGACATGAGGTCTGTCTGTAAGAGCCTGATGTGCAGAAGAGTTAGCCTTGGTGTGTGAGGCTGCAAGAGCGAGTTCTTTGATCAGTAGGTGAGATTTTCAGAGGGACAAATTTGGTTCTTCACAGACCTTCTCTGAGCACAGAACTTTCAAATGAGTTGCCTGATAGCTTGGTTCCTACCTAGCACTCTGTCACCAGAGTTCCAAATGAAAGATGGATGGCAACTTTGGGGACTATTGAAAAAGGGTCTAGAAGACCCCCAAAGACACAGTCCAACTCTAAAAAGACATAATTCATGTTTATTTATTTATTATTTATATATTTGAGCCATGGTTTTCTTGTAGCCCCAACTGGCCTAGAATGTACTATGTAGCCAGGCTGGCCTCGATCTACTAGAGATCTGCCTATCTCGGCCTTCTGAGTACTGAGATTAAAGGTGTGCACCACCATGCCCAGTATATTTACTTTTTAAATGCATGTGTGTACCTCTCTGAGTTTATGTGTACCACAAGTGTGTAGGTACCTGTGGAGGTCAGAAGAGGGTGTTGGGTCTCCTGGAACTGGAGTTACAGGTGCTTGTGAGCCGACTGATATGGGTGCTGGGAACCAAACCTTAGTTGTCTGCCAGAGCAGCCAATGTTTTTAACTGCTGAGCCATCTCTCCAGGCCCCATAATTGCTTTTTATTACTTTTATATATGCATGTGTGTGCACATGTGGCAGTCAGAGGACAACCTGCAGGAGTCAGTTCTCTCCTTCTAACACATGGGTCCTGGGGATTAAATGCAGGTCTTTGGGCTTGGCAGCAGGCTCCTTTACCCACTGGCCATCTCATTGGCCCAAGACACAATTCTTTTTCTTTTCTTGTATATTTTTTTTATTGAAGTCTTGTGTGTTTTATACATAACATCTTAATAATTTTTATACCCCCACCCCCAGATTTTGTGTATTCTGTTATATATGTTAAGGTCTATTGAGTCAAGTTAGTGTTGCCAGATGTCTCTGCACGTTCATCCACTGAGGTCTAGTCAGTCTCTCTAGAGTCATTCCTTTAAAGATCAGCTCTTCCTCACCCAGTAGTAATCAGCTGCCCAATAGTCCAAGACACAATTCTTAATAAGTGAAGATAAACTCTTTCTGAAGAACATATATTTAGTAAACTCTCCTTAGAAGAGGTAAAGGACCAGACTAGGACTTCCAGGGTGGAGAGAGCTGGAACAGTAAGAAGGCCACTCTGCAACAGAAACTGTCTAACCAATAACACTTTGACTGCACCTCTCACCTTCTTACTCACTGGTGTGCCCTTCCCAACCGTTCATTCCTTTGCTTCCTCAGGCCCCACATCCCAGGGCTTCCACAGCAAGCCCTGCCTCTGCCTCTTCTGCTCCATTTGCACTACTGTTGACTTTGTTTTTGCCATTATGGCCTCTCCTCTCGAAGACCACAACAGCCCCCTGCACATGCAGAAGGCCTAATTACCTGAAGAGAAACCCTGGCTGACAGCCAAACCTCCACTTCCTTCCCTTAGAGCAGGGACAAATTTTCCTTTTTTCTTTCTTTTTTTCTTTTTTGAGATAAGTGTCTCACTATATAGCCCTGGCTGGCCTGGAACTTGTTATGTAGACTCAGTTGGTTGGCCTAGAACTCAGCGATCTACTTGCCTCTCTCTCTGGAGTGCTAGGATTAAAGGCACTCACCACCACTCAGCCCTAGAGACTCTTAAGCACTTAAGACTGTCTTGATTTGGTCTGGGGATGTGGCTCCATGGTAGAATGCTTCCCTAGCATGATCAGGGTCCAACCCTCAGCGTGAAGATTTTGATGATCTGGTAGAGAATGAGGGAGAAGAAAAGAAGATAGGAATGGGGGAGGGGATTCTTTCTTGTTCTCTTTTTCTTTCTGAGACGGGGTCTCACTATGTAGCCCAGCTGGCCTGGAACTTGTGGTGATTCTCCTGCCTTAGTCTGGGGAATGTTAGGATTATAGGCATATATTACCATGCCTCGTTTCTTAACACTTATTTCTTAAGACTGCCATAATGAGCCAAGTGTGGTGGCACCCACCTTTAATTCCAGCACTTGGGAGGCAGAGTCTGGTGGATCTCTCTGAGTTCAAGGACAGCCTGGTCTACATAGTGAGTTCCAGGCCAGCCAGGGCTACATAGTGAGACCCTGTCTCCAAAAACAAACAAAGATGACTGTTATATATTCCTACAAACTGGGTGGTATAAAAAACAACCTAAATTTATTGTCTCCTAGACCTAGGGGCTAGACCTCCAAATCCATGGTGTTAGCAAAGCCACATTCTTCTGAAGGCTCCAAAGAGAATCCTTTCCTGTTCCAAGCTTCTGTTCCCAGTATGCCCAGGCATTCCTGGGCCTGTAGCTGCATCTCTCTAATTTCTGTCTTTGTCTTCAAATCTCCCTCCCTCCCTCCCTCCTTCCCTCCCTTCCTTTGTCTCTCCTTCCTCTCCCTGTCCAAACCTCCCTTTCCTTTCTCTTTTAACAGCACCAGTCATTGGATTTAGGACCCATTCTAATCCACCATGATTGCATCTTAACTTCCGTAAAGACCTCACTCCAAACATCTACAGGCTCTGGGGATTAGGACTTGAATGAATCTTGGGGGGTGAAGGGCACAACTCAACATTTTACAATTCCCAACTGGTGGAAAGTGACAGCGTAACAATTTCATATATAAAGGCATCTTGTTTGTGAAGTGGTCCTGGATGAAGGGAACAGTTTCAGGAAGAGTGGGAAGTCCTGCTAAATAGGGCAGGCAGGGTGTCTCAGTAGCCCAAAAGTGAGATGGTAGGCTTGGGACTAGAATGTGGGCCTCATGGTCTTGTGAATCCTGATAGTTTTGTTCAGAAATAGCCCAGGGCTGTGTGTGTGTGTGTGTGTGTGTGTGTGTGTGTGTGTGTGTGTGTGTGTGTGTGTGTATTGTAGAGGTGAATGTAAGAAAA